ATACTGTCTTCTTTAGGAAGCTTTTCCTAAGTATAAGTAAAAAAGACACATTACTTATCCTCCCCAGAACTTTTATTATGATAGGTAAAATATAACATGTAAAAAGAAATGTATACACAAAGAATGTTTTTATTTTGCTTCTATTTTGCCATAGTTCTCCATATGTTATTTTTAAATGTTTCTTGTTCAGGAGTTGGAACAAAGTATGGGCTTTAAATTCTAAAAAAAAAAAATCACTCTTTCATATTTCATATTTTGCTTTAACATAGAAGTTCCTGCAGGACAGAGTACTTTTTAAAATAGAAACTTTAAAAAATAATTTTGTGTACTCTTGAGCGTTGTGCAATGTATTTGAGTATACTTAGCATACATGTTATTTCTTTATATTAATTCAGCCAGTTTTAGACTGGTAGGGGGAATGATTCATAGGTACTAATAAGTATAATTCAAAATGGAAGGTGGTAAAAGCCTCTCCTTGTGCTCCCGTAGTAATTTGTGCCTACTCCTTCATAACAATTACACTGTTTACATTGCCCCCATATTTGCCTCTGATAGGGTCTATCACAAACTAGGTGTGGGGATGGTAAGGAATGGGGTTTGTGCATTTTGGAAAAAACTTCCATGCTATTCTTTAGGTACATCACACCTTCCATCACCATCAACATCACCGTTCTTCTTTTGAAAACTTCTACTCATCTCTAAACTCTTAGAAAATAGGAAACTGTATCTTATTTATCATTTTATCTCCAGCTCTTAGCTTTTTGTGGCATCTGTGCTTGTAAGGTAGACAGTAAATATTCCCAGCAGGAAGGTAAAACTAGGAGTTTAGAGGTAGGAGAGATTAATTTTGACTCGGAAGAGCATGAAAGACTTTATAAAAGGGTTACCCAAGAGGAGTTATGAAAAGAGGTGTTGAGCTAGTTTTATGGAAATGGATGAGAGCATTTCACACAAGAGGGATGAGCAAAAGCAGAGGCAGGTAAGTGTGGTATGTATTCCAGGAATTCTTGGGCAAAAATTTCAGAGTGTGTGAAGTGGGAGAAGCCTACAGAATTTGCCTGTGTTCAGTCGGATTGTGAATACTCTTGTATGGAATTGGAACTTCATTTGTAGGTGGTAGAGAGTCACTGAAAAATTTTTATCATGGCATAACTTAATTCATCTATCATCAACTTGGTATATTTGTCACTGTGTAGGTGAGGTTATGGGTAGGTAGAAAGTGGAGACTGGGGCTTCAGTTAAAATTAGCGTATTAGGTACAGTTAGAGTCTAAATTAGAATGACAGTGAAGAAAGAAGAGGGAATTGATGCCAGAGATATTTTAGAGGAAAAATCACTAAGTCTTGGCCTCTCTTTTTTTAAGTATCACATTTTTCATTTTAAAGTGGTAACTACATTCCTAATAAAGAGATTGTGCTAGTGAAAAGGAATGTTTTGACAGGTGAATACTCTTCTTTTGCAATTGAATTGCCTTGGCATTTATAGAAAATAAGTAAAGTTAATTGGATATCATCTTGATAATAATAGTAGAGTTAAGTGATGATATGTGTTGGAGGTTTATTTTATGTTAAGAATTAATTATAGATTAGAGACATGTCCAAACAAGAGAACAAGACAATAATTTGGACCTTATGTTTCTATAGTAGTGTATATAGGCCTTTTATGCTTTCTTTCTATTTATTAATTCAGGCATAGAAGAGTCTCAGTTACGGCACACTCTGAATGCCACTTTAGAAAATTACATAGGAATCAGTATACAATATGTTGATGCACCATTTAATATAACTACAAGAAACTGAACTGAAATATTGAAAATGAAGGATATTCTTCTTGTCATCTTGTGAGCTACTTTTATCAGAGTATTTGTTTTATTTTAACAGATTTTAACTGACAGCAAAAACTAATGTCATCATCAGTGTTATTTTATATATGTTGCTAGTTTTTATAGTTTGAGGAAACAGAACATGATTGTGATTTATTCAGTTGTTTTTGCTCTATATTACTGTTGGTATCATTTCTCTTAAGTAGTTTGTTGACTTTATATAATATCGTGTTTGCTTCATGTAGGCTTCGGCTCTGGAAGCTCCTTTGTATTTTAAAACTCTAAACCAAGACTTTTGATTTTTTAAGATGGCAGAGTAGAGACATTTATGCCCTCTTCTATCTGAAATTACCTGAAACAACAAGGAGAATGAGAGACAGAGATTACATCTTTGATGAGACCAGAAATCCTATAACCCCAAATCAAAATATTTGAGAAATTGTTGTCAAATGTAAGCAGAAGGAGATTAAAAGAGGATGCTAGTAGGAAGAGATCTCAAAGCTTGCAGAGCAACGTGTGAGAGATCATCTGTTTACAGTGGGTCAGGATGTATAGGAAGGCAGTGAGAGCGTCCTTGGATTGTTTGGCTGCATGAACTAGCAGGAAAGGAAGAGCAAATGAGAAAACACACAGATAAGCCATCTTTGCGGAACACACTTTCTTGGTGAGGCAAGAAGTGATGGCTAAACAGCTTTCTCTGTCTTGTTCTCAGACACATTCTCTTTGTCTCTCTCTCATTCACACACACATGCGCAAAACACTCTGTCATAAATGCTTTCTTGTACATCAGTGACTATCTTCTGGTCTAGAACCAAGCCTGCTTCTTCCTTCCACAGTCCTCTTGCAAATAACTGATCCTAGTAGAGTTCACATCGTTCACAGGTAAATAATAAAAAGGAAACAAGCACAGTATCTACACAAAAATGCTGCAAGAAAAAAGGAAAAAAGAAACGGAAAAACAAGTGAAAAAGAACCCATGAGAAAACTGTATTGGCCTAACAAATTTGATGAAACAATCACTTCTTGAAAATAATAGACAAAGTTTATTGACCAGGGAGAAATAGTGAGACAACAGGATCTGATAAATTATATTCTGGCAGAGCTCAAGAAAGAAAAGGAGAAAAATAAAATCAGAAATAAATGGCCATATTGGAAGCAAAAAGAATTAACATTGTTGAGAAGTCAGAAAAGGCCATGACGACAGGCTTTTGAAAGTTGAACAAAGTGAAATGAGAATGAAAAGAGATGAAACAAAAGCCCAATTGTGTTCTGGAAATAGAGAATTCAACATTAGACCAGAAAAATATTCAAACATATAACTTAAGAAACTTCCCACTAAAGAAATCTTAGTTCTACAGATCAAAAGGGCATGTAATAAAAATTAGTATACATTAACCCTTGAACAGTGTGGGGATTAGGGACACCGAGCCCCCCCCATGCAGTTGAAAATCTCTGTGTTAACTTTTGACTCCCCAAAATTTTAACTACTAATAGCCTACCATTGACCAGAAGACTTATTGATAACATAAACAGTTGATTAACACATATTTTGTATATGTATTATATATCGTGTATTTACAATAAAGTAAGCTAGAGAAAAGACAATGTTATTAAGAAAATCATAAGGAAGAGAAAATACATTTACAGTACTGTAAAAAATCCACGTATAAGTGGATCCATGTAATTCAGACCCGTGTTCAAGAGTCAACTGTACAGTCATCAACATCAATATGTAATCTAGTTTTTAAAAAATTGGATTTCAGAGGTAAAGAGTGCATTCTCTGTTCACACCATTAAAAGGGTCAATTTACCTGTAGGGGAGTCCTGGGGGAAGGATCAGTTATTGTCAAGGGGATATTTAGCATTATAGAACAGTGGTACAAAGCCTATAAGTCATCAGGGGAAAGAAAGTATGATCTCAGCCGAACTATCAGTTGACAAGTGTATTTGAACAATGTAAGAACTCAAGGTAAATAGTATCTATAAGTTTTTTGATAAAGTATAAGAAGATGAATATCAGCCATCCAGTAGATGAATGGAGATGATTCAGCAAAAGGATTGGCAGGAAGGTAGGATGAACAAGAACAAATTAACTGTGAGATTTGTAGTAACAGAGTATAATAGAACTGTTACAGGGTAGAAATAACTAATAAAGTCAAGAATGAAGGAGGAGAAAAAGCAGGAGAGTAAGTATAAATTTGCTGATTTCCTCTTATTTGTCAGCTGGAGAACAAAGGACAAAAAGTTTAGACATCAAGTAATGGAGGTGTTAGTATATTTAAAGGAATAAAGATGAACACTTGAAGAACTAAATATAATATGTTTAACCAAAATCAAATAGTGCATAGGAGGTACAAAGAAGTAGAACTATATTAAATTTCTTATCTTAAATAGATGCAACCAAAGATGAAAGAATAAAAATTTTTATCTTTACACTTTACATTTGCAAAAAAACTGAAAACATATATGGGATATTTATAAAAACTGACCATATCCTAGATCACAAAAAAACAACAAAAAGCTATCATACAGATGATGTTTCTTTCTTTCTTTTTTTTTTTAAAGATTATTTATCAGAGAGCGAGAGAGAGAGAGCACAAGCAGGGGAACAGCAAGCAGAGGGAGAGGGAGAAGCAGGCTCTCTGCTGAGCAGGGAGCCCGATGCGGGACTCGATCCCAGGACCCTGGCATCATGACCTGAGCTGAAGGCAACCACTTAACCGACTGAGCCACCCAGGCACCCCAGATGATGTTTCTTGACCAAAAATTTTCTCAATTTCTTCTATGGAAGTGGTTCTTAATATGGTCAACAGCATCAGCATGGCCTGGCAACTTGTCAGAAATGCAAATTCAGAAGCCCCATGCCAGATCTACTGAATCAGAAACTGTAGGAAAAGCCCCCAAATCTCTGCTGGTCAGGTTTTACAGATATCCCATTTATGTTTGTTATTTGCAGTTGTTATTTGTAGAATGCCATGATAAATATTTTTGTTCTTTCATGTTTGGTCTCATATCTAATTATTTAGGAGAGGAAATTGGTAAATCAAAGAATGTTCCGTAGAACTTTAGGTAACTTTTTCTTTGTTGTAGTGCTGGTTATTAGAGGTGGAAAAATTAAAAGTAGGTTTTGTTTCTTTAGAAATATCTTTTTTGTTTACAATATCTTTTTTGTTTACAGAAAGCAAGATTATCTTCTTATTCAAAAAAGATGAAACGAACACGGTTACTCTCAAAAGACAACCAAGTGAGCACCTTAGACTAATGAGTAGAATCAATAAGAACGTGATTTTGGCGCTTTTAACTTTGACAAGTTCTGCATTTCTACTGTTTCAGTTGTACTACTACAAGCACTATTTATCAGCAAAGGTAATATTTTTTCTCTTTTCTCATCATTAGGGAAATTAGTTTATTTTAGTACAGTGTACTTCTCCCTCCCATTCTAGGGGAGGATACTTCTCTGTTCTAGTTGACCTTGACCATGAGACTTACTTTGGCTGGTGGAATGTTATAGACATACGCAGAAATTTCAAAGGGGCTGTTATGGTATGACTTGCCCTTTGTTCATCCCTGACTTGCCAGGAGAAGAATGTGCCCTGGGTAGATCCTGTCCCTCCAGTCTGGGCCCTGGATGGGATTTATGAAGCAGACCAAAGCATAGCTTCCTGGCTGACTTGCAGATCTGACAGAAAATAAATGCATATTAGTCTTTAAGACTGGGACAAGCCCAACTGGAGCTACCCAAGCACCCCTATGAGCTATTATTTTTATTATTATCTTCAATTTTATAATCAGAAGTAGTATTTGTTATATCATGTCCATGGCATACAAATTGCCTTAGTAATAAGCACCATATTCATTAAGCAGAATTGAACAAAATAAGGCATAAAATTAAATAAAGTTCAGTAAACCTGTATACTATTAAATTTGCAAAGTTTGTATTATTTGTATTAGAGTTCTTGTTTTTTATGTTCACTATTAAAATAGGTAGAAATGATGACATCTAAGTTCTGAAATACCAAAGGTTACTTTTATTAAAAAATATGGAAATTACATTAAGCTATTCCTAATCAAGTCATTTTGCATTCTATAAAATGGAGCTTTAAACTTTATTAATTCAAAACTTTATTTAAAAGTCGCCATTTGCCAGGCATTTTGACAGGGTGATAGAAGCAATGAGAAATGGTTCCTCTCTTCCATTTATTTATAATTTGTTGGGGATGGATGCTACTGGAAGTATAGATGCTTCTTGTATGTTATTAGTGTGAAGATAAAATATTATCTGTAAGGAATACGAGTAGTTTATGCCAACAGGAAAAAAATTCTTTATTTAAAAATAGTAGGTGTAGTTAGAGTAATAGATGCTGAAGCTCCCAACTTTTTATTTTTTCTTTATTTTTATTGTTATGTTAATCACCATACATTACATCATTAGTTTTTGATGTAGGATTCCATGACTCATTGTTTGTGTATAACACCCAGTGCTCCATGCAGAACGTGCCCTCCTTAATACCCATCACCAGGCTAACCCATCCTCCCACCCCCCTCCCCTCTAGAACCCTCAGTTTGTTTTTCAGAGTCCATC